CTCCTCCTTCATCAACAATGCGCGATGTATTGCCCTCCCTCTCTCTGTGCAGTAGGGATGGAGAGGCGGTCAGGATGTTTTAAGGGCGATATAATTACTCGTATGTTGTTACATCATTTCCCCCGCCTCGCTTTATTTTCTCTCTTATCATGTGAGCATTGGGATTTACAATTTTTGAGATAAGGTTTCCGATTGGAAGATGTTGCGCATAACCATATCCACTTCGAACAGTCACCTTTCTTCACTCTTTTCGTTCGTCCGCTATGATGCGCGACAGTTGGCATTTCGAATCCAGGGAAGAAGGCTAGGCGAATGGCTAATGTTCGTCTCTTTGTTCTTTCTGAGGTAGACAAGAGGCGATAAAATTAAAAAGGTACTTTGATTTGTGAAGGAGGTTTTTTTTGCATAATATCAATGGCAGTCAGGAATTGGGCAGGAGTTGTTGGAGGAGGAAGCTTTGCTAGCAATAAACTAATACTTCTTGCTTCAGACTCTCGAAAGCTAAGATGACGATGGAATCAGTAGTCTGGTCTTATGGTAGCACGGCATGCGCTTGTTCCGGATGCCTTTCAAATGTGCTGGTGAAGGAACCAAGGAGACGTGATGTCCATCTTCTTCCAGGAAAAACAGTCCACACTTAATCGACGGGTTTATTACAAAATAATAAAAACATTATTTTACTGTAAGAGGAGCGCTTGTAATGTTTTTTGTAAGTCTGAGAAATGTTGTGCTTTCTTCGATCAATCGCTGCCATTTTGCACATTTCGATGTTTTGAAGCTCTCACTTGTATCATTGATTTTGGAAGAAGACCCTTATTAACCAAAACTATTGTCTACCGCTGAGGTGAAGCTCCAGGCTTGAGAATGGGGAAAATCGGTGTCTTATTTCATAGCTGCGATAGTTTCGTCCCAGTCTGTGTAGAATATCTGTGCCAAAAAGACTACGTCTACCATTTAGTAGTGTGTTCAAGTCGCGAAATCTGTGTTAGAAGGCTTTTTTCCCCTTCATTTCATGTCGCAAACCGAAACGTCTTCTTTGTTTGCAAATAATGCCAGCGTTTCTGGGGTAACCACTTCGTAAAACACTTAGGCGAGCACTGGAATGTAGGTGGCCCAAAAAGCGGCTTGAGGCCTCATTGAAGTGAACCAAATTGAATGGGTTGAACGTCGGTCATTAAGGCTCCTTTTTTTAAAAAGATTTATTCAGCCGTCATAGCAAGTCTAGACAGTCATATCAGTGGCCATTGCTAGCTGGTCGAATTCTCCTTAGGCGGGATTCCCATTTTCCATTCTTTTGTTCTCGAAAAGTTCTTCCCCTCCTTCGCCAATATGCAAACGCCTGAATTATTTTGCGGAATGTGTGAAAATGTGTTTTTCGTTTGAAATTTGTACTGGAAATTTGAAGAGGAATGTGAATGATTCTGTGTACATTTCTATTTGTATCTGAAATGTCTCTTTTATTTCTGGAACCGGTTTTATTTCTCGATAGGCCATTACATTTTCACTCTTTCTACTGAGGGCATTTATGGTTCGTCGACACAGCCTTTGGAGGTGCAGGTCTTGGAAGATCATTTTGCCA